GAACTTGCTTATGACTATTGGAGTGTTACAAATGTTTTAAATTCACAAAGTAGGAAATTTAAAGGTGCACCCACCATTGGGTGCTATTGACCCACGCGACGAACATAGTGGCACCCACCGGTGGGTGCCATTTTGTGTCAAAGGGTCAATCTCCTTCTGCTAGTATTATGCTTGGTGTGTAGTGACGAACTACCAAGTTCGCTCTCAAACAGAAAAGGAAATGACAATGTATTTGATAAGAATCCATGGCGAAAACCGAGGCATTTGGGCCAAGCCAACTGGGGGAAGATCCACTTTTTTTGCTTGTTGTGTTTCAATTCCTCTTTGCTTTTCCTTCAAGTTTTTCCTTGCTCACAAAACATTTTCTTCAAGATAGATCCATATGAAGCAAAAAACGTTAAAAAACAAGAAGTCAAATGGATACTCTCAGTTTTAATATGGGTCAGAATTAGCTTCGATATTGAGTAGATAGTGCGGCGAAGCTAGAGAGTCCTCTGGTTTGACGAAAAATTCTTCCACTTAAAGGAATCTTCCACGGAAAGCTCCGCCTTCATTACCACAGAAAACGACACCTTGAAGGAATCTTCCACGAAAAGAGTGATCATTTTGTCTTGTGTGTAGGATTAGCATTATCGAAACTAACGCTTATGTTCATCTTTTTGCTACGCTTATGAGGCCAAGGGCCTAAGGAGTCGTTTTTCTGTGGTAATAAAGGCGGAGCTTTTTACGTGGAAGATTCCCTTTAGCAGCTAAAAGCTCTTTGACTTAACTCCGACTTTCGTTGCCCAGCTCTCGAGAACATTTGTAATTGAATAATACCTGCAAGAATACCCTTTAGTGAAGGTTTGATGATTTAGAGCAGTATCAGTGCTATGAACGAGCTGCCATTGATTCTAATAGATAAAATCATGGAATCAAGTGGGAAGAACTATTATGAAAAATACTTTAAGAAAACTCTGGTGCTCTAGAAGCAGATTCACAACAATATTGTCTTTCTTTGTCCATGAGCCAAAAATGAAGTCAGGAAATTTCTTATGGCGCATGTAATTTTTTCCGTCCTGCTTGACACGTTGGCGATAGCGCGCCTTTCGTTTTTTTTTGGCCGCGTGATATAGGCGCGATTCAGCGAGCAGGCCGCTTCACCTCATATCCGTGATTCTTAGTGGTAGTTATGCAAAGGTGAGTGGCACAAAACTATGCCAGCAATATTCATTCCGTAGGAAGTTGATGAGAGTGTAGTCGTTCTGACGCGCACGTGTCAGAACCATGGTGGCCATTCTCTTCGACGTGTCGAACGCTTCCGAATTTTTTTATTACTATTATATAAGCTACTACAAACGGTGGCCCATGGAGTGGTCAAACATCCTTCTGTTGAGCAAAGGTTTCCTGAACCTCACTAAATTTTCAATTTAGTTCAAGCTTTGACTTCTGTTTCAAAGTAAACGAGCAAGTAAAGACAAAACATATGTGCAGACAACAATATAATTTGAGAATGTCAAGGAATTACGATTTTATGGACTGCTTAAGTTTTTCACTGGAACAGCCGATGCAAAAGAATTTTCTACTATGTTGGCAAGAAAGTTCTGCGACACTTTTTCAATTCTTTGATTTTAATTTTATCTTTTTTGTTTACAACTCCTGACCGGTCATATACCTGTGTCCACCACTTGTCTTCAACGCTCAGAAAATTTCCTGATGCGCCTTTTCCAAAACCCATCTGAGTGCGGGTCAAGAAAGGAGGCGCCCTCTTTTTGTTGGAGTTGATCGTCTAATTATTTCGTTATCAAGATGATGATTAAAGGTCCAGGATAGGTTGTAGGAATTCATAGCTCGACAGGGGATTATGCTAAGAGAGGTAAGAGATCTTGACGCACTTCAGAATTTCTTAACGGGCTTATTTCTGATCATGGTGATTCGCAATGGCATGAAAAAAATGAATATTGTCGCGGTACGAGGGCTCTTGACGAGCTGCTTCGGCCAGCTTCTGGTATTCCTCAACCTAGGCTTCACCTTCACAATGGTGCCCATAACGAAGAATATGTAGCAGGAGCCTCTGTAAGAGCCCTACCTGTAATGGAGTGTAGGGACGCTGTGGCTTCTTACAAAAATATCAAAAGATCGGAAGCGCTGGTAAAGGTGAAACACGTTGTGGCGGTGAACGACATGCCTGCTGAAGCTATTGCAGATAGTGTTGGTCTTTAATACGAATCCATAGTTATGTAGACATTTGTACTAGACAGTGGCTCGGAGTATGGATTCACTAGTGGTCGGAGTTTTCCGAATTTTCTTGGATAACTACTTACTGCAGCACTTATATCCACCTCGTGGATTGAAGCCTCGAGAATGTTCTACTATTTGTTAGTCATAAATGTTACCTATGGATTGTTCAGAAAAGAAGAGAATTCTAGAAAAAGTGTGTCAACACTTTCTTGCCAACCTAATTCATCTTCTGCAGTGCGTTCTAACCGTCTTGTTTTTTGAGGCCGCAAAAAAATCCATTTCGTGGAAGTGGTCTTGACTTTCGTGGAATAGCGATGGCACAGGTTTCGGTGGACGTTTGTTATTCAAACTTGCCTATAAGGGTGGCAGGGAGGACAGCGTATGAGAAACCCTTCGCGAGAGAACCAGAATGAGTTCTAGCGAGTCCAAAATAACACATCTGTCAAACTTCGAGATTGCGATCATAAAAGCGGGACGCGATTCTGGCATCACGTCGTGGTGCCAGAATCGCGTCCCGCTCCTATGACCAGGGTCAACCCTATGTTGCTAAAAGGAGCAACGAGGGGGTCGTTCTTGGATGGACCCGGAGGGTGGGGGGTCGTACTCTCTCGGTGGCCGGCAGTAGGATTTGTGGTAATCTCCCTACTGATCATAACCATGTTTCATGAAGAGCATGAGAAAGGAAGACTTGCAGAAACAGCAGCTGCAAGACATGTAGCATCGTTCAAAGAAGTACTCCCACTATGACATGGGTCCACCCACGAAATTTGAAATTATTTGAAACTAAAGTGTAGCTGGAGTACTGCCTAAGAAAACATGGACAATAGTCACTGAATTACGTTTACGCAAGACAATTGATGCTAGAATATCTGTAAGCCGCTTCCTTCTAGATGAGCTTTCAAATGAGTCAGCGAATCAGGAGTGCGACCGAGGCGTGGCGCACACCAAGGCAGGGGGAAATCAGTGCAAGCGCATGCACAAAGCATTCCAACACATCCTATGGTCAGCACGATATCTTTTCCCTGGACGTTGCGGCCAGTGAAACCTAAAAAAACCGCTTTCTTAAGAGAATGGCTCGGAGAATGCCCCTCAAAAGAATGTAGCAACGGAACTAATTTCTGAATTACTCACTTTTAAGAATCGTTTAGGTACTTTTTGAAAAGCTTGAATCCTGTAATTTCTCAAACCCGGTTCAGCTTCCCAAATGAATGAGTTTAAAGGAAGTTATGGTCGTTAAATAGTGAAAAGCTCGCCGATTTGCACAGAAAAAATTCCAACGTGTTAAATTTTACTAAAATTAGCTTCGATGAATTTCCAGATATGATTGGAGAGAAATGAATTCGATTTGGGACACCTTTCATTTCCCCATTCTCATAAAATGACGCACAACCACCCCCTTTTCTCCACGAGAAATGCTTGGTGACGTACTCTGAATCTCCTATGAAGACTCACCAGCAGAATTTTGGGCACGGGGGCTGGGGGGGACCTCTGTAGAAACAGTCTCTGGATAAGACCTGCGCATTTTGTTTAGTTCGATCTCGTGAAGATGTACTTCACTTGATTAGTCCTTATCTCGTGAAGTTTGAGATAAAGGAAATAAAAATTGGTATGAATGTGTCTTTATAAAAATTAGACACAGGGGGGGTCGTACCAAGTCCCCATGGAGGGGAAAAAGCTCATAAAAAAATCCTAGCACAAAGCATTCTAACACATCCTATGGTCAGCACGATATCTTTTCCCTGGACGTTGCGGCCAGTGAAACCTAAAAAAACCGCTTTTTTAAGAGAATGGCTCGGAGAATGCCCCTCACAATAATGTAGCAACGGGACTAATTTTTGAATTACTCAATTTTAAGAACCGTTCGGGTACTTTTTAAAAAGCTTGAATCCTGTTGTTTCACATACCAGGTTCAGCTTCGCAAATAAATGAGTTTGAAGGATGTGATGGTCGTTTAAATATTGAAAAGTCGCGTTTGCACAGAAAAAAGTTCCAACGTGTTAAATTTTTACTAAATTAGCTTTCGATGAATTTCCAGATATGATTGGAGAGAAATGATTCGAATTTGGGACACCTTTCATTTCCCCCACTTCTCCATAATATGACGCCACAACCCACCCGTTTTCTCCAGCGGAGAATGCTTGGTGACGTACTCTGAATCTCCTATGAAGACTCACCAGCAGAATTTTGGGCACAGTGGGGCTGGGGGGGGGGACACTCTGTAGAAACGTCTCTGGGATTAAGCCTGCGCATTTTGTTTAGTTCTGATCTCGTGAAGGATGTACTTCACTTTGATTAGTCCTGATCTCGTGAAGTTTGAGATAAAAGGAATAAAAAATTGGTATGAATTGTGTCTTTATAAAAATTAGACACAGGGGGGGGGTCGTACCAAGTCGCCCATGGAGGGGGAGGTCGTAAAAAAATCCAGAATGTAGCAACGATAGGACCGACCCTGCCTATGAGCGCAATCTAAGGAGAAGACGTCATCGCCTTCGTCTCACGCGCGGTGATTTGTCACGACCACTTTAGGGAGAGACCTCCATTCACAGGGAGGACTGATAGAACATCGGAGTTAAAGAAGAACAATAAATAACAATGAATATGTGAATATTATTCATTCTGGAACCGATTTCCAAGAGACGCTACTTTATGATTCATATACGATCCCTTTCTCAAACTAATCGAAATTCAGTAGACAGCGGTGTTAAGTTACTAGTAAAATGTCTTCAAAGTTTGCCCAAGATTTATTTTTCAAGGTCGGTGACATTCTCTCAATAATCGAGATGAACTGTGATCAGAGTGAAAATGCATATTGGAAAGCCAAGTTGACAATAGCAAATACGGAAGGACGAAACGATTCTGAGCCGAGAATGCTTGAGGTTAGTTGTTCAGGAAATCTTTTGCCACTGATGCAATTGAAGGCAAACCTCGGGATTAGGCTGACTAGAAGAACCTGCGCTGCGAGTAAACTTATTGGATACGTATCTGCAAATATCGTACAAGCTCCGTCGCAAAAAAGGAGCGTTTAGGACGAAGGGTTTGCCTGCTTTCTTTTTCACTTTTATTTCACTTCGCAGCTCAACTATCACTACACTAAACGCTCTTATACAACAGTTCAGCCCGGGATTTGCCTCTAATTTTCTTTCTAATGCTCCTTAATGGTACGAGTCACCCATTTTGCCTAAATTTTGAGATGAAATCACAGTGTTATTCAGTATGACTCCGATTACCTTCCTTACTAACCCATATACTGCTATCCCTCTATACAAGTAAATTTTAGGTCGGTTACTTCCCTTGCGACTGTGTACGCATCATTGATGGCAAACGACTTCCTGATCATCTTACGTCTTCAAATAACAAGGTGAGCAATAAGAGCGATGGAGGCTATGAAGTTCCACAAGGCCCATCAATGGAATGTGCCTATCCCTTTGGCCACAATGGCACCCACCGGTGGGTGCCAATGACCGTCGCGTGGGACAATGGCACCCAGTGGTGGGTGCCACCCTAAAATTTTCTTGATTAGGCATTTAAAACGTTCTCAACCTATCAGTAATTATAAGCAAGATCCGTTAAGCCTATGTTTAGCATATTTTGCAGAAATGTTTGTTACTAGCTAATTTATATGAAATTTTCTTATATGGTACTTTGCTCGGCGATGTATTAACTAGTGTTATACATTATTAAGCTAAAGGTGAATTACAAATCAGGACCTCTACGTTTTTTTCACAGTCTTAAGACACAAGGAGGAGTTCGAACTATATCAAAAATTCTATTGTACATTTGAACTTCTGAAGTTTTCAAATACCATCCCTTTGAAAACTCAAGCTGAGATTTTTTTTTTCGAGAGCGCTAGACCGTGGGGTAACTAGGCCCACTGCTTGTATGAAAGGACGCTGAGTTTCGTGCTCAGCAATCCTGAAATGACAAAAATCCAATCTTGTATGCAAGACTCCAAAGAATGGAGGAATCATCATGAAACGAAGCTGAGAAAATTTTAGGTAAACCAGGAAACGCGCTTCCAAATGGCTTGAAAAGTTGCGGTAAAGTTGTAACCAAGAAGTAAGGCATTCAAAAGTGAGACAACAAAAACCGCAGAAATTTCCTGAACGATCTCATACAATACGCATTTTAGATTTCCTCGCTGCCAACACGTCAAGTGTCCGCTCTGCTCAGGTATCGCATTGGATTGCGTCATCCAGTTTTCGGGATCGATTTGGTGGATCACTTGGCAAGAACTGGACGAAAAGGTACTGAGATAACCTGTGCGTTTGGGCCCCAGTGATAGAATGTAAAAAGAGAGGCGATAATCAATTAACTTCACCACATACTTGAACTGTGTCAGTGCAAAAGAACCGATAGGATTTACAATTTGGAGACGCTATTTTATCTACATTTTTAACCCAAGAGCATTATTGTTCTGGAAAAATATGTGGCTCGGTCTACTAGCACCTGGAAGACTCTGTCTGGCATCAAGAAAAGCACTGAGTAAACGACGGCTCTAGCCGAATACAATTGCGAAAGTCTGTGAACAATATGATTCGTCGATCATTACGAGTACACGAAAAACTGAGTGGAAACCCGATCGAGGGGGTAGTATTTTGCTGATGGGGTGGGGAGGAGGGTCGCAAACCCGAGAATCCGCGGAAATTCGTGGGAACATCGTCTGATAGTTGAATGGACGCTGGAAGAGACGAGTTTGGGGAAAAATGGTAAAAGTTGCACGACTTTGCCTGAGGCCACAAGAGGAATAACGATTTTAAGTTTCTGCAGTCTATATGAAACTAGACACTTCTGTAGGCCTGATCACTACATGCTAAAGATGGGAATGGTTAAAGGAATCTTGCGCGGAAAATTCTTGCACTCTTTCCTAACATGAATATGTCAGTTGTGATCACTGGAAATAGCACACAAAGTTTCACGCATGAAGATTCGTTCTGAAGAGAAACAAACGTACAAAAACTACACGTTATGGACCATCGAAGGACCAGGAGGCAGAGCATAGGCGAGGCATGGAAAGAAGACGCGTTTTTCCGGCTACGTACCAGGCGACGCAATGAGAGAATCGGTTGAAAGCGCGCGATTTCGGAGAGTGGAGACAAATCGATCGATGGAATAGGATGGAGTAGAAGTGTAAGATGTGACATGCAACGAAGCAGAAGGCCAGAAAGAGCTTCTAGTGAATGCACTCCAAGAACCAGTTTGAGCATCCCCGTCGCCAGCATTCGTGGAGACGTCCGTGGGCAATTCGAACGCGGAGCAGCCTTTTCGAGTTTTCGAATTTCAAATCAAAACCAAAAGCAAAAATCAGTCTCTTTTTCACTATTATCGTGGATAATGAGTCTCAAGCCAGTGATTTATGGATGAAATAGAAGCATGATTTTTCCGCGCAAGATTCCTTTAAGTTGCAGGTCATAGCAAGAAGAATTAGACTTTCAAATGCCTTGGCAATTTTGAAACACAGGTGGCACGTGGCGCATCTCAAAGGACATTGTGGTGGTAATCGCTTTAATTCGATTCAGCGGTAAGACGCTTCGGATGGTTTTCGGTGAATTAGAACTAAATGTAAAAGCACGGATCTGCAGTGATATAGAGGGATGACTCCTTTAGGCTAAAAATAGGAGTTTCAGGCAAGCCGGGTTTTTGATGGAAGCTTCTTCAAAAATTTTTGATGTACGTTAGCAGGCTTGAACAGATTTTCATAAAAACCCTCAAACCCCCAGAACAGGCTTGTTTGAGAAGCTATGACTGGTAAATTTAGAAAACTCGAAGTCACTGCTCGAAAACCCAGAGGAAAAGTGCGCACGCATAACTTTCTCTAAAATGAAGTTTGAGAACGGGCAAATGCTGTTCAGAAAGTTCCTGCAATTTCTTGCTGTTCAAAAACTCGCCACAGAAACAAGGGGGAAGGAGGTTATGGTCCCTAGAATACCAAAAATTTGAGTTCGCACAAAAAACGTGGTAATCTTGGAATTCCTTAAAAAAAATGTCCACAAAACTTAAGTCACTTTATAAATGCATATAAATATGAAATATTTATGTTTTCCAACTTCTTACATCTCCTCAAATTGTCGTAGATGTTGTGCCCTTTCTGAAAATGGAGACGCACATTTCTTTAAAGTTTGTTTTTTTTCGTAACAGAAGTACCTATAATACCTAAACAGTTGAAAAATGTGGGATTCGAAGTAAGGTCCGCTTGAAATTTTTTTTGCGCCCCACCCGCTTTTTCTCCGCCTGGTAAAGGGCGCGCTTGTGCCAACACCGCGCCGCAACCGTCACCTTTTGGAGACCTTTAAATTTGAAAGCCTCATATTTTCTGCTTGTTCACCAACCACCAACTGCAGGGGTCTTACCTAGACCTTCTTGGAAGGGGAGGGAGTCGCGGAAATCTCGAAAAAGTGCGAATGCGACGGTCGACTATGATGATGGCGGTAGGTCCTTGCTCTTTGGCCACCCTACAGAATGCTAGGATACAGCTACTGGCGATGGCAAGATACATTGTTGCCTCACTTCGTAGATACAAGCAGGGCATTTTGTCGCGTTTCGTGTGACCTATTTCCCTTTCAGTTCCTCTAATTGTTGAGCGATGCTGCGAAGCGATTGAACGGCAAGGAGTGGTCACTGGTATTTATCGACAATGCGGAATACAGTCCAATATACAAAAATTGAGGTGTGCGAGGAGATTCCTGATGAACTGGAGATCAGGTACTGGTCAGTACTCGAATACGATTTGTTTAGAGCGAAATTCGATAGCGGAAGCGAGCCAGACCTGTTCGAATTTGGTCAGCGGGATATCTACTCTGTGTCCTCGTTATTGAAGCAGTATTTTCGGCAGCTTCCTAATCCACTGTTCACGTTCCAATCGTACGCGAAAATTCTGGTGAGTGCAGAATATTTGGAATGAACCTCAACAATTATTCTGACAAATATTCTTCATCAACTGCAACAAAATGAATGGTAATATATGAAGACGAATTCCAATCCCTTGAAATAATCACAATACAAAACTCTCACTAAAGGCTTCTTCGTACCTATCTGCGCGTGGCTGATGTACCATTGAAGGAATCGTCCGCGAAGAATTCTTGAATTTTCACTTAACATCAATGTATCAGTTGTGATTAGTGGAAACAGCATACAAAGCTTCACGCCGGAAGATTAGGTTACCGAGAAGAAACATACTTACAAAGACTACACTCTATGGATAATCGAAGGTATTGGGCTGTAGCATAATATCGTAGCGCTCGCATTCGGCAATAACGTTTGAAGCAAAATCCAAAAGCAAAGCCAAGATTCAAACTAATTGGTGATGTTCTTCCCGTCATTATTTACGACTTTTGTTCCATTTCGCAAGAAAATAGGTCGACTACAGTAAGGCTCAACGATTTCGATGGATTTTGAAGAACTCCTACTTTGGCGGCTTTTTTCTTTATATAGTTCGCCCACCTTGATTTTCCAATTTCTAGGCACCTTATCTGAGTACTTCTACAATATAGAAGGAAACGACAAAAGAGCTATTGTAGAAGGGGAGAAGTGCTTCCAAACGATGTATGCCATTTTCTGAGTAACACATGTATTCGCTGAATTTGTAGTTGAAAAAAACGCTACGATATTATACTCCAACCCAACAAAAGGCGCGGAGCCATAGGCGGGACATGGAAAGAAGTTCGCCCTCGGGCGGCTACACATCAGGCGACGCAATAAGAGTCGGGTTAAAGCGCACGAGTAGAGACAAATCGGTCAATAGTATAGGAAGGAGTAGATGTGTGAGATGTGAATGTAATAAGACAAAAGGCTAGAAAGAGTTTCTAGTGAAGGCACTCCAAGAACCATGTGGAAGCATTCCTGTCGCCAGCATTTTTGACAGATGTGCAGCGGTACTTCGGACGCGTAGCACCCCTTTCGGCGTTTCGAATTTTTTTACCAAAACAAATGCAATTTTTCTGTTCTTTTCATTCTTATTGTGGATAATTAGTCCCAAGCCAGTGATTTATGGCTGAAACAGAATCAAGATTTTTCCTTGAAGGAATCCTTCAAGCTAGAGCAATTTTTAATTATTGTTTTACGCGTTTCATGTCAAGGACATGCGCAGGAATGAATGAGTGACCGGTCTGTTCTGAGCAGGCCGGTGTATGTATGTACAAGTAGTGTGACATATGTTTCGAAGGAGTTGCCATTTACGCGCGTTTCGCGATATTTGAAGAAGGATTTTGAGCTTTGCAATTAGAAGGCAGCAAATTATAACCAAGGTAGAAGGTTCAGGGGTGCCGGGTTGAGAAAAAAACTGTGAAGAACGGCCATAACCCAAAAATTGAGACCCCTTCTTTGCCCGTTGGTTTCGCAGTGATGCGACTCTCATCGCTGTTACCCTCTTCAATGCTAGCGCTCTCTCTGCTAGACTATTAGAGATCAAAACCAGTCGGTAAGCGTACTGCGTGGATAGCGCCGTGGGGAGGGCCACGCTAGATCACCGGAGGCATATCCTGTACTGCGAACCGCGTGTCTGTCCGCAACTTAGAATGTCCGCCTGTCCTTCCACTAGGTGAAGTTCCTCTTCTTTAACCTTCCACCTTGTCGTGGGATCTCCCTTTATATAACAGTCGGTTTTAACCATGAATCTTTAGACAGTCGCATTTCTTGCTGGCACAAGCCAGTAAGAAATACAAGCAAATTCAGACAGCTCGTCCGAACGCCCCTCCCCTCATTTCAAAGGGGATGAGGGAGACGCTGTTCAAAAGTTTCGCCGGCGTTTTTCTTCGCTTTTCTTCCTACTAGCAGCCAACTCGCCATCTACAGCTTCATTATCGACCTTCTTTTCCCCGCGAATTCGATCTTGAATTGTTGCTTCAACAAGTTGGTAACGGTTCCAAGAGCCAGCCTGCCCCATAGAACGATGCGGTCAATATTCGACGCCGATGCACTTGCAGTCAGCAACTCGGAGTACCCTCATACAGTTTCATCGACATATGTGCGCCTGTTATCTACCACCCTGCTTGACTTCCGCCAATCAAATGAGTATTGAAATATTAATATATCAGTGCAGAGTTATTTTCTTTCAACAATTTCATTTATAATAAAGTGCTTAAACTTCAGAGTGCTTTCGAAAGCCCGGACCATGACAAAGCACTCAAGCTGCGAGCTGAAATGGAAGCTATGCCGTTTGCTCACTTCCGGTAATACGTCTCCTAGTTATCTTCTTCAGCTTCTTTTTGAATTCATTGCCTTTTATAATATTGTGCGGCTCTGTTCATGTGAGGAGAAAGCAGAAAAAGAGACAGAAAATGCCAGTCCATTTCCTCCGAAGAACAGGAGATTTCATAACCTTCAACTTCGGCAGCAACTCAGATACCATTTTCCCGTTCTGCTATCTGTACAGTAAAGACAGATCTCAATCCTAAACAAAACCAATTCGTCAAAAGTTATAGTTGTATTTGTTACGGATCGAAAACGAATAATGGATCATACATATTAAAAATACTCTGACTCTCGCAAAAAATTAAAGCAACAGTCCAAGCGTGGTTTCGAACATTCGATGCTAAGAGATGGAAACGTGCACTAGCCCTAGTCAAGTACATAGCGAATGCCACTGGTTTGAAAGTTTACTTTTGAAAGGCGTTGGAAGAGGTCTGACGCCCTTGAACTGGGCGGATCCACCGAGCCTCGGTGCAGCCGCCCACTTCAGTTGTGTAGAGTGCGTGATTGGCTGCCAGACATTTGCGATCATTTCAAGGACTATTTAAGGTCAATCCATTAACACGTTGACGACAGCGTGACGCGGTAACGCGTCCCGCTTTGCGCACTTTGTGGGACATTGTGACGCGGTAACGCGTCCCACTTTGCGCGCCTTGTGGGACATTGTGACGCGGTAACGCGTCCCACCCAAGTCGTTCTTTTTTCATGCGCTTGCCTGGCTTATTCCTAAGGTCTTTGTAATCATTCTATAGGTCATACATTAGCCTATCTTAAAACCACAGGGCTCACAGAAAGGCTAAATATTCTGTGGCTTGGCAGAGGTTTTCCAGACCTTACGGATATGTCTATTCAGTTCATTCCTCGTTTTCTTTTCAACAGCGTGAACATGCTGATAAAAAGGAATAATAGAAGCGAACACAAACCCATTCGTATGGAAAGATATGTGGTTCTACTGAAACAACGTCCAAATTAGTTTTGAAGCCAATAAAGGGAAAGTATGTAAAATTCATCTTTTCATGGCCTGAACACGTCATTTCGGTCGAACTTCCATTACTGCCACTCCCCATAAGTTAGACAGACCGAACATTGTTGAAAACACTTCAAAAAATTTAAGTATTGCGCATTTACAGCTCAAAATCCATAGATTTGGTGTACGGCGGCGGCGCTCGCAAAATCACTCTTGTCCCAGGCGGTGCAAAAACACAAAACGCGCGATGTCGTCAACGTGTTAACAATCAATGTCGATCGTGCTTAAGGCGCGTAAGTTTTGATCACTCATTCAAATTGGATTTCTTCGCGTATGTTTATTTATTTGATTTCCATCATCAGATTCCCATTTTCAAGAAGCGGCCCCAGTGTATTTCGTATCGGGAAGGGGAGGGGGAGACGGGGAGTATTGACCGAATTGTTGCTAAGCTACGACATAATTGTGCGCTGGCAACATTTTGTGACGTTTCTTTAGTATGGTTTTTTCAGCAGTGCTTTGTCGCTCTGGATTGCTCATCTGGATTGGAAACTGCGGGCAGGTTCTGGCAACGCGCCCAACACGCGTCTTCCCCCATCGCTAAGCAGCAGAGGGGGAGTCCCTGTTTAAGACCCTCCTCGACGTTTTTTTTTACTTTTTCTTTCATCATGCGTCAACTTTTTACCCACAAGTCCACTATAGGGGTTTTTGCCCGTGAATTCGTTCTTGGAGTGTTGCTTTGAAGTCATCTCTATGTTTGCAGTACAAGCTATCGCTTTTCATATGATATTTTACCTTCAATTTCGTTTCATTTCTATTCAAAGATGATGATGTGGAATTTAGGACAGCTACATACCTGATGCGACATCTCACCCGCCTGTGCAATTATACTTCACTTACCGACATGACAGCGAAAAACCTGGCTATTGTCTGGGCACCCAATTTGTTTAGGTGCTGTTTTGCGATTGTGTCCATTTTTCCTAGAATTACAGTATAATATTCATGCGTCCTATGCCTTACAGAGCACCTCCCGTCCTCGATGGTGACGAGTCGCATATGCTCAGTGGCTTAGATGTGCACACGTCGCTCTGCAATTACCTTATCACAAATTCATCGGACATATTCGTCGACGGACTTGCAGAGGTCACCAATATCTCAGGTATTCTTAACGTGTCTGAATATTCATCTCAGAATATCTTTTCGAAACATTGGCTGCAGCACGTTAAACATACTACAGTATTGGTCAAAAATCAAATAACGAGCGGTTTTTAAGTTTTGCTTCTCTGAATATCACTGAACCTTCTCCAAATTTGCGCCAGTTACTTACTAAGTGTTTTCTAATCTGCACAAAAACATCAAACTTCAGCTCAAACCGAAGTTAACAATGTATAGATTTTTCTAGTTTATGTAAGGCAGAAGAAAAATCACGTAGTCTGTTTACTCGAATACAATTATGTTTACCAATAAAGCAATCAACTTGTGCAGCCTATAAAATGAAGCAAGTCTAGCACATTGCTAAAAACCCTCTCTGGTCGATGATACATTATCTACAACACCGCTCACAGAATGTGAAAAATGACGCTGATTGACAGTCCCACCTATCAAAGACCGTCGCACTACCATAACTCCGGTGAAGGTGAATGAAATAAAAAAATTTAAATTCGTATGGATATGTCTCTCTACGGCGAGTCCGAGGATATATCATGTGTCGAGTTTTGTTGGGTAGGTCACCAGCTTAACCTTCTAAGCTAGGGCAAAATTCAAATCTGATCTCAAGGTAGGCCACCATTCGTTAGATCTGATGTTTATGTGCACAGTAGTTTACCGTACGCACACAGCTCTTTTTCTGAAGCATTTTTATCCCTGTTTCACAGTCGCTCCGGATGCGAACGAACCTTTCAATTTTACGACATTTCCAAATGTTGCCATCAAAGTCTGAAGGAAATACGACGAAACGCGTAGCAGATCTTGAACTAGGTATGCATCTGTGCAACGATTTTGTTGTTTACTGGAATGAAGACTGGCGGTTATTCCATAATTTAGCCTAAATGTCAACATATGTCATATTCTGCAGTTAGAAACACTTTACTTTTCTTTTCGAATTTGCACTTCAGTGAAGTGTGTGATCTCGAATGGTGTTCCCAAGAGCATGTCATATTGTTGCGTATAATGGCATAATTGCTTATGATCAAGGGTCTACTCGAATGAGACAAGAGTCAATACTTCCACCTTTGTAAACAAATTTTTGGATAGGGAGTGAAGAAATGGTGTTGAAATTGATACAGTTGTACTCAGCGCTATAAATGCTACGTGATAATATACAAGTTATTTCAAGAAGACTGCTTTGTTTTCTCTCGTTTCCATCGATGAGCGCTGCCAGTAACCAATCGCTCGCTGACCTCGTAATTACCCTGCGCTTTGAAGGCCAATGCCTCGCGGTATTATCACTCTTCTTCGAGGCACACCCTAGCAATTGAATACCGTCGAGCGTTGGTTTTCTAGGATCCGTTCACTTTTTCGATCCGAAACCACGCCGAACAGTGAAACGGCTGCGAGCTCATTTAACACTTCACTTGTTCGCCTTCGTTCCTATTAACTTGTTAATTACGAGGTCAGCGAGTAATTGGCTATTGGCCAGCGCTCATAGATGAAAAAAAACGAGAACAAAGCATTTTCTTGAAATAACTTGTATATTATCACGTAGCATAGTGCTGAGCTCAATTGTATGAATTTCAGCACTACTTCTCCACTCTCTGCCTGTAAACTTCTTTTCAAAGGTGGTAGCATTGTCTCTTGCCTTATTCGAGTAGACGCTTGATCATAGGCAATTATGCCATTATACGCAACAATATGACATGCTCTTGGGAACATCATTCTATTCGTTGATCACACATTTTGTAAAGTGCAATGTTGAAAAAAAGAGTAAAGTGTTCCTACCTGCAGAATCTGACGTATATTGACTAAATTATGGAAAAACCGCCAATCTTCATTCCAGCAAACAACAAAATCCTTGCACTTGCATACCTGGTTCAAGATCTGCTACGCTTTCGTCGTATTTCCTTCAGACTTTGATGAAATCGGCTTGCAAAATTTAGAAATGTCGTAAAATTGAAAGGCTCGTTCGCATCCAGACCGACTGTGAAACAGGGATAAAAATGTTTCAGAAAAAGAGCTGTGTGCGTACGGTAAACTACTGTGCACATAAACATCAGATCTAACGAATGGTGGCCTACCTTGAGATCAGATTTGAATTTTGCCTTAGCGAAGGTTAAGCTGGTGACCTACTTAACAAAACTCAACACATGATATATCCTCAGCCTCGCCGTAGCCAGAGTATCCATAAGAGTCTAAAAATTTTCTGTTTCTTTCACTTTCAGCGGAGTTATGGTAGTGCGACGGTGTTTGATAGGTAGGACTGTCAATCAGCGTCATTTTTTCACATTCTGTGAGCGGTTTTGTAGAGCAAAATATGAGGTCAATTATTGTAATGAGTTCCCAGTAAGGGTCTTTTCCATTTTATTTCAAATTGGACCAGATTTTGCCCATTCGAAGCTCTTTTATAGGCAATCGTTTTGCAACCCCTTCCTAAGGGTTCTGTGATGTTTGGTCCAGGATCACGACCTGGATACAAAGCTCCTCACGATGTCGAAACTACTCTTGCATGTGGGAGGCAGGGTGAAAATCGTGTCGAGTACGTGGTCGCAGAAGTACGCCCCCCCCCCCCGAAATCGAGATCCTGGCACGACCCCCAAAACAGAGCAAATTAATTCAATTAATTAATCAAAATAAATCCTGCAAAATGAATCAAAAAAATTCTGCAAAGTAATGTTTTGGACGCTTCATCTTGTCATCTATGCACTGTCTTTCATCGCTGTACACTTTTGTTTATTTACTTCGAGGAAAGAGGCATTAACTTTGTGTGACCTCAAAGTCGGGTTCGTTCAGAAATGCACGGAAATCTTGAAGGCACGCGGTTGCGATAATCCTAATTCCTGTTTGAGTACATCGGAACAGCCGAGTGTATCAGTTAACGGCCGATTCAACGGCAGCTGCGGTGCGATTGTCACTGGGTCAGATTTGCTGAGATCCAAAAAAAAAAAAACCTTCGAAATCTACACCCTCGATGAAAAGGTTGCATTCCTCCATTTCATACCTTGATGCAGTTTGAGGTAGGTTTAGATAGAGCTAGATTTCTCGTTTTCAAGGAGTATTATAACTGCTCTGGAAGCCTTCATGCAGAAAGATAGGGTCTCTCAATTTCGTCGAGTAAAACGTCGAGGACGCTAAAATTTTCCACGCGAGGTTGGCACTTCAAGAGCAATATCTCTCTTAAGCGTGAGATTTTGAAAAAGTGAAGATAGCTTTGAAAAGCGGAAGGTTTACGCTTTCACATGATCTTTCATAGCTTTCTTCAACTTCCTAGTTGAGAAGATATCTGCGTCGAGTATGTATCGAGGACGGATCGGCCAACTGAAAGTCCGCTCCCTTCTTCACCATTGCATTGCAATGGTGGGCAACGTCGAATGGAGTCAGAAAACATCCTCCTAACGTACAAGCAATAGGAAAAAGGGCAATCGTCATCATCGAATTTTGTCTGAGTATAGGCCATGCATCCGACCTCACTCGAAGTTGCGGAATCGATTCGAAGGTGTCATATGATCATGACCAGTTGACGGAAGCTGCATTGTAGTAAACGCATTTCGTAACTCCTACAACCTGAAGAACAGCTTCATTTGCCTAAGGCTTTTCCTTCACGGCTGTCGTTTTTGCGACAGGTCCCTAACAACAGTGTCATTCTTAGATAGGCATTAAGGGAAAAGGAGCGAGCGATAGGCAGGGAGGTGCCTTTGCAGCGCGTGCGCACATGCGGCAGTCCTTCTTTGCGGGGATGCATTTTATTCTTTGTACTGCCTTCAAATACGCCCTTCTCATGAAAGTGGAGGAATGGAGCGACTGAACCAGCAAAGAAAATATCATATCATTAGTATAATGTTTTTTTTTCAGATATTTTCATTTTCTGCTGCGTTATATCCTCTTACCTATCTGCACTACGATACCACTGCTGTTACTGACCCTCAAGAGTACGACCCCCCATGACCCAGCCCGACAGGTACGACTGATATTCACCCTGGTGGGAGGCCAGATGCCTATACACTGCGTCCCATAATTATAACTCCACCCAAGAATTGCGCAAAATCTCACAAAATTAGATGTTTTAGAAAAAGTCTCTGATGTGGCAGTGTGTCAAATACGAATACGAAAATCCTTATAAGCATCATTTTCCAACTTGAGATCCCAGGAATTTTTCTAATAATTTTTGTTCAAAAGGGCACTTGGCCAACGTCCCAAAATTATAACTCCACCTCATGTTTTTCTATTATTTTTCACTTCCGTTTCGCCAAACTTTTTTATTGTACTAACATCCTACTTCTCAAGGGGACAGTATGATAGAAAATGCTGTCTGACTTTTTAAAAGGTCAGGTCGTCGCAAAAACTGCTAATTGAGCAATCGCACAAGATTTTGATCAAATTCACGAGGAGCTCGAGAACTTTTTCAGGAATTTTACATGATATGGAGTTGAGAAGAGCTCCAGAGGATCTTCCCTTGCTTTTCAGTAGAAACGAAGGCCGTGTCACAAAAGAAACATCCTTTTTTAGGAAGCCGTGCTCTGCCATCAAATCTTCTTCGGAACTTAATCTTTCAACCGAACAATGTTTTTTGCTTGCGAATAAGTACCAAGTTGATACTCGAAAGGAAAACGTGGAGGGCATCATCTGTGTCAGGGAACGATGGCAAAATATGAGCCCATTTTCACAGGAAGATGCAACGGAGCCGAATGGAGTTAGGTTCGCTTTTGCTCGATATGTTTTAGCATTTATTTGTTTTTCTTTTCGTGCTTTTCTCAGCCTTAGTAGCTTTTATCTTTGCAAAGCACTACCAGAAGGAAGAAAATGCCGAAGAGAAAGACAGACCAATCAGTAATGAATCGCAAGTAGGACCGAGCCTTACTACATCGGCTCGCATGCACCCTTCCGAAAATTTCAGCAAGAACTCCGCCATGGTTTATTACCACCAGATGATGCCTTCCACGTTCACCTCGAGAATCACTTGGATTTTATTCGCAAGCAAAAAACATGTGTTCAGTTGAGCCACTAGAGTTCGAAGGAAGATTTGATGCAGAGCCGGCTCATGAAAAGGATGTTTCTTCTGTGACACGGCT